CCCAGGCTGGTCTTGAACTCACAGCAATCCTCCTGCCTCAGCCTCCCGAGTGCTGGGATCACAGGCGTGCACCACCATGCCTGGCTACAATGCTTATCTTACAATGCTTATTTAGAGCTTCAAAACTTGTAGCCCCTAAATAAATGTTTGTTTGGTTTTTTTTTTTTTTTTTTTTTTTTTTTTTTGGTGGTGTGTGGTTTTTTTTTTTTTTTTTTTTTTTTTTGAGACAGGGTCTCTATCTATCATTTAATTTTGTTTTTTTCTTTTCTGAGTCAGGGTCTCACTATGTAGTGCAGGCTGACCTTGAACTCACTATGTAGCTAGCCCAGGCTGGCCTCAAACTCAGTGATCTTCCTGACTCAGGCTCCCAAGTGCTGTGATTACAGGCGTGTGCCACCAAGCCTGGCTGAGAAACTTTTCTGTACTTGCCATGTCAGTAAAAAGACCAAGGAAATAAAAGATCAAATAAAGGGAGGTGGGGTGTTTAATGGTCTTAACAGTGTAAAATTTGAAATGGATTCTTCTTTTTTAAAAATGTACAAAGCCAAAATTTAGTTAGCCTTTACCAGTCATAATATTCATTACAAGAAGATTCAAGAAACATCAGTGTCCAGCAGAAATCAGGGTGGTAGGCTGAAGACAAAATGGAAGAAACTGAACTTAAGAATTTTTTTTTTTTTGTACCAGGGATCGAACTCTGGACCTTGCACTTGCTAGGCAGGCAATGAAACCAATAAGCTAAATCCCCAGCCCTATAAGAACTTCATTGTCAGAAATTTTTACTATCAGTGGAAAGAATCTATTACCATATAAAACTAGCTTTAAAAAAAAGCGAAACCAAAGAAATCAAACAATTTAAAAAAAAAATACAACTTCAACACAGACTTACAAAGAGACAAGAAGAATACTATGGTATTTTAAATGAGCTTACCCTGAAATAAGTGAAATTTCTAGCTGCTGAATAAATGTCACTCAAAAGCAGTTTCTTGGCTTTTTCTTACACAGCGGGCAACTTTTCTTTTAAATTCTCCATTTCTGTCTTCCCTCCATTCTTTCTGTAGATACAAAGGTAATATCAAATGATATGATGTAAACACCTCCTTATAATCTCAAATACATATTTTAATTTCAAGTGTATCCTTTTGGTAATTTATATACTTTAAGTGGTAAGTTGATAAGACTAGAAAAGTAATCAATGATACTTTGGGTTTTTTAAGGGTTTTTTTGGTACTGGGGATCAAACTCAGTACCACAGATGTGGTGCCACTAAGCTAAATCCCCAGCCCTTATTTGGTTTTTGAGACAGGTTCTCACTATGTAGTTCAGGCTGGCCTCAAACTCGCTGTGATCCTCCTGCCTCAACCTACCCCTAGTGCTGGGATGACATGCATGTGCCAGCACAACCAGCCAAAAATACTTCTGCAAGGCACTCTGATAAGCAGAAATCTTTATGCAAGTTATCTCTACATGAAATTCTTTCCAAATGGAAAAGATCACAAAGAAGTTACACTGTAGTATTACACTAAAAAGAAAGCTATAATTTACAACCAAGACACTGGGACTATCTCAAAGATTACCAACTCTGCCTCTGGCAACAATCAGAAAACAAAGTCAGCATAAAGTGTCTCTCATCTAAGGTAGACAGATGACATACATCATATTGAAATGTTACCTGAGTACTATTTAGGGCAAAAGGAAGGGCAAATATGTGCTCTATCACTGTCCCTGTAAAATACTTGGAAATGGAACATATAGTAGCACTAGCAGTTTTAACAGAGAAGAGTTGCTTTTATCCACTACGCAGACAGCAGGAGATGCTCACAAAAAAATTCCCAACCTGTTTTTCTTTCTTTGAAAATTATCTATTTAGGGACAACAAAGACAAAGGAACTCTTCACACCAGAAGTCAAATGTTATTTGCACTGTCTGATCAAAGATACTGCTGACCTGTATAGAGATTACTAGGGAACTAGTGAAGGAGACTTATCCAAAAAAGAAGAAAGTCTTTCAGTCAGTACCAGTCTGGGAAAAGGAGTCTTAAAATTTTAAGGGAAAAATTAATGTAAACGACACTGGAATAGCTTTAGGAATTACAGCCAATTTGGCAAAATAAGTGTTGTGGTTATACAGAAGAATGTCCTAATCTTTCAGATGTTTGAAGTTTATAAGTAAAACGTTATCATTTCTGTAATACCCTCTTACCACCTCCAACCTTGCTGGTGACTAAATCTGAGGCCCTTTAAAAGAAGGAAAAAAAATTTTTTTTAAGTTTTGAGACAGGATTTCATTAAATCACTAGGTTGCCCAGGCTGGGCTTGAACTTGTGATTCTCCTAACCTTCCAGAGTGCTAATAGTGCAGGCATGGGCTAGCACACCTGGTTTGTATGTGCGTCCCTGCCTCTGTCTGTGTGTGTGCTAACATAGTTGCTTTTAAAAAATCTTTATTACATATTTGTTGTGCGTAATCGGGCTTTATTTTTAAGTAAATGGAAGCAAAGCAAAGGGCAATTCTGGTCAAAGGGGAGACAATCTCAAGAAATGGTCACCTAAAAATTGTACCATAACAGGTAATTAAAAGAGCAAAGAGATCAAAGAGGAAACTATTACAGTACTGTACAGAGGAAGCAAAATGGGCTGCTGTCGATAGCAGGGGGTGGGTAGAAAGGAATTTACAGAGGGCATGTGACTAATAGTCTCTGCAACTGAGACAGGACTGGCAAGGGTGACTTCTGGGTGGAGAGGAGATCAATAAATGATGGTTTGGGAGGGCGCTTAAAAGGGAGGTTGGGATAAAATTTATGTTTAAAAAATAAAATAAAATATGGTTCCAAAGAAGAGACTAGTTAATTAATACAGCAATCATTTGTTGAGTAGTAGTTCATTGGTCCACGCACTGTGGCTACCAGGAGGATATTGTCATGCCCATTTTATATGCAGAGAAACAATGTATTTTATATAGCAAAAGTATACATATTGATCTTTGCTTACCTGAGACCCTACTGAAATGCCCACACTGGAATTTTTTTTTCATATTATAAACCCTCAATATGAAAGAAAATGTCAAGGAAGCAATCCAATAATGGAAGGTTTCAGACAACAAAAATCAGGTTTAAGTATTAAAATTTGTAGTCAGAAGAGGAAGTAGTAGCCAAGACAAGTCTCAGTGGAATGAGAGCAAAAAGGAAAGGGGTACATTAAAACCCTAAAGAAGCTAATATTTGGAAATGGTGAATTTGAGAAAAGCCTAAGAGGTACAGCTAAAAACAGACCAAAGTCTGTGTACTCAGCATTTCCCCCTCAAACCTACACATTTTCCTAAAATAATGATTATGTATGTAAATTTTACACAAACACCTTATCAGTACTAGAATTAGAAATACTGGGTAATATATTAGTACCAAAAGGAATCACTCCTTCACTTTGGCATTGAAATGATACCCTCAGCTAGTACACACCTTTAATCCTAGCACTCTAACAGGTTCGTATTAGAGGATCTCACCTTTAAACCCAGCTTGGGCAACTTTGCTGCCTAGTGGGACCCTGTCTCAAAATAAAAAATAAAAAGGACAGGAGGATGTAGCCCAGTGCAAAGGCCATGTGTTCAATTGCCAGTACTATGAGTGAATGAATGAATGAAACCAACAAACAATATTCTCTGCCCTGGCCCTTACTTTCAATTTAATATCCACACAACCTTATCCCCCATTTGGAACAAAAAGTTCCAATCTGACCCCAAGACACTCATAATTCAATCATAGAGAGTTGGTTAGAAGGTGTATACAGTTCTGAAAGTAGACTTTAAAAGGAATTATTGGAGAAAATAAGCTAATTAAAATTAAATGTCAGCCAGGTATGGTGGTGCATGCATGTAATTCCAGCACTTGGGAGGCTGAGGCAAGAGGAGCACTTCAAGGCTAGCCAAGGATACTTAGTGAGTTCAAGGCCAGCCTGGACAACACAGTGAGACCCTTTCTCAAAAAAACAAAAATAAATGTTTTAGTTTGAATCTTAAGTGTACTCCAAAAGCTCACATGTCAAAAGCTTGGTCCCCAGCTGATGGCACCTGACAGAAAACTAACACGCAATACAATACTGCCAAAATGAAAACTCAGTAGAAAATTTAAATTAACATTATTGGGGATGTGGCTCAATGGCAGAGCATATGGTTAGGTGTACACAAGGCTCTGGATTCAATTTTATATATTATATATTATAAAATTATGATAAAAGAGCTCAATCTGGGTAATTAAAATATTTTTTAAAGGAGACAATATTAAACATGGAGAAATTTTCAAACTAATTAAAAAGTCTTTAAACTCAAACACCAACTACAAGGATGGAAAAATTAAAGACTTTGTACTACTCTGAAAATTCAGAATGCTAACAATGAAGAAAAGAACCTAAATGAAAGAGAGAAAAAAACAAAAACAAGTTATCTAAAACTGGTGAAAAAAAATCAGCATAGCATCAACTTTCTCAACAATAAAAGCTAAAAAATATATTCTGTATAACTTTAATTTTCCACAACTCTATTAAAAGAATCAATTAAACATAAAGCATAAAAATATCTTGGATCATGAAAGAAATCTGAATTTCATTCCTACATAGCCTAGGACATTAGTACAGTAAAACTGCTAGGTACTTCATCCTGTATGTGCTGCTGAAATGAGCACTGAAATACCTAGGGAAAAAGGAGGAAGAAATCCAAAAACAAAAAAAGAGGAAAAAGAAATGGGATCCAGGGAAGAAGAGATCTTATCCAGAGAGCAATAAAGGGGAATTCATGGGAGGCAGCCAGCAGCAGGCTCACAAAATCCACCTGATGTGCAGACAAAGTATCCAGAAATCCAGATCAAAGCTCTCCAACCCCAACCTTAACCCACAATAGAAATAGGAACTTATTGCTGCCATTTCGTTCATTGTTTTCTGGTTCTTTTATAAATTAATTTTCTCTCTTTCTCTGCCTCTGTGATTAAGTAAATTTTCTCAACCAGTGTGTTTTGATTTTTTTTTCTTTACTTTTTGTGCAAATACTGAAGATTTTTGCTTTGTAGTTTCCATGAAGCTTATAAAAACATTTTACAGGTTTTAACAGACTATTTTAAGCTGATAACAACTTACCTTTGATGGCATAAAAACCTACATTTTTATTCCACACCTCCCTATCCAACATTTACAAGTAAAATTTATGATACCACAATTTACTTCTTTTTATATATTGTGTATCCCTTATCACATGACAGCTATTATTACTATAGCTACAATAATACATAAAATCTATGGTACATTTTGTATTAACAATAATGTGTTGAGCAGCTGAGCATGGTGGTACAAGCCTATAATTCCAACACTTGAGAGAAGCTGAGGCAGGAAGATCGCTGTGATTTCGAGGACAATCTATGCTACATAGTGAGTTCAAGCCAGCCTAGACCGCCTCAAAAAAACCAAAAAAATAAAAAAATAAAAACCAAAATCTAATATTATATCATGTTCTTGAAAATTGCTCAAAGTAGATTTTAAGTGCTCTCACCACAAAAAACACTGGTGAGGTAATACATATGTTAATTAGTTCAAATTAGCCATTCCATAATAGTACACATATTTCAACATTAACATATCACACATGAAGGGTTTGGTTTAGTTGTTGCTGAGACAAGGTCTCATATGTAGTCCAGGATGCCCCCTCCAACTCATGGTGATCCTCTTGCCTCAGTCTCCCAACTGCTGGGACATGAGCCAACCCACCCAGTTCTATCAAGTCGAGTTTTATTAAAAGGGAGAGGAACAGAGGTAGGGGGTGGCATATGGGGGACACACACATGACCTTACCGCAGCATCCACATTAGCAGGTGAATCGCCATTAGGGTCTGCCAGCATCGAAATGACACTAATCATGATAGTTTCCACAGTGTGGATAGGGAGCCAGCGTTCCTCTGGTTTTTCATAACCGTATTTATCCTCACCAGGTTCATGAAGAATAGAGATGCAAACATCACCATTTTTATCAACTGAAAAATTAGAGAATAGTTCTGTTTAATATCATTAAATTATTATACATATCTAGTATTAAAATATGATCCTGCTCCACATATAAAATATTACTTGCATACACATGATTTCCAAAATACAATCTGCTAACTTTTTAGGAAGACTACAGACTTTATCAAATATAGGATTCACCTGAAAACCTCAGGAATAAAAATTGTCTTTTTCAATTCTGTAAAACTTTTAAGATATCTAGCATATAGACAGTGCTTAGCATTTACAGGTAGTAAATAGTAAATACTATGTATCGGGCTAAATGGCAACTACTGAATCTGTTCCTCGTTTACAGACAATATATGATCTAAACTGTAGTAAAATAACTTTCCATGTAGTAGTTTCCTAGTTTGACCACTAATTTACTGGTTTCAATTGACATTAATCAAAGGACTAGAAATTTTTCACAAAGGAAATGGAACCAGTATAGTGATGTACTTTTAAAATAAAAACAAAATTATATTTTAAGGGAAAGGAGCCTGTTTAAATTTGTAAGAACAGCACATCATATTGCTTGTGAAAATTCATCAAGATATGTGATATTCATGAGGCCTCTTCTCTATAAATCATTTTTAAAAGTCAAGCCACAATGCTGCCAACCTGCCTTGCAAGCAAGGTCCCAAGTTCAATCCCCAGTACAAAAAAAAATGTCAAGCCACAAGTAACCACTTGCCGAGTAACAGGAAAATAACTTTATTTAGGAAACACGTGTTCACATAACTGGATCTTAACCTTGAAGTTGTCTGACAAAAAGTAAAATAAAATACCAACTAAAAGAAGTTGTTCAGACCAGGTATGGTGGCGCACACCTGTAATCCCAGCACTCGGGAGGCTGAGGAAGGAGGATCACTGTGAGTTCAAGACCAGCTTGGGCTACATAGAGAGTTCCAGGTCAGTCTCAACTACATAGTGAGACCCGTCTCAAAACAACAACAACAACAAAAAAAAGTAAAAGAAGTTGTTCAATCCCTAAATCCATTTACCTATCTCATAAATACTCCCTACCAGGGAAAATACTCTTTCACAGTAAAAATTGTCCTCTTTTTTATTTTTATTTTTATTTTTTTGTGTGTATATGGTACCGGGGATTAAACTTAGGACCCTGTACTTATGAGGCAGGCAGCAGAACCACTGAGCTAAATCCTCAGCCCTGTCCTCTCTTTTTAAAAAATAAGTAAGATTAAATAAAACTTCTAGGTGAAAAATTTTCAACCTTATTTCCATATTCCATAACCAATATTTATGCATTATTTCATTCCTAACTTATTTTATGTGGAGCCTAACAAAATTTTTAAGTAATTTTAAAGCTTATTTTTCGTATCATAATATTATGGGAACCAAGGGGTGGAAATATATATATCATTGCTGGATTAATTTAACAAAATACTATAACTACTGTGTACCACAACCATACCTGACATGGGGAGGGTACAGCAATGTTTATGACAGACAAGGCCTGTGTCTTCAATGTTTAATATATAAGCTTTTTTGTTTTGTGTTGTTTTTGCAACTGGACCTTGAACACAGGGAATGCTGAACTATATCCCTAGTCCTTTTTGGGATAAGTTTCCCAGGCTGGTCTCATACTTTCGATCCACCTGCCTCACCCTCCCAAGTAATCTCTCTCATACAAGTGTGTGTCACCATGCCCTGTTTATAATTATTTTCTTAAGTGGCCACTCAATTCTACATTCCTCTTCTCTACCAGCCACACTGAGTAGTCAAAACAAGTGAGCTTATTAATTAAATTGTCCTTCCTGGCAGTATTCTTGGTTTAAGTATTTTTGTTTATTTTTTGTTTTATTTTTAGTTTATTGGTTCAATTTAGGCATACAATAGTTACATTCATCAATGGGATCTTATGCCTTTACAAGACTTATCTTGGTTCTTATTTTGCCCCATTCCCCAGCCCTCCCTTCACCCCCTCCAACCTTCCATTTACAAAGACATTGTTTCCATGTTTTTCCTTTTTACATATTTTTTCTTTTCCCTTTTTACCTTCCCCCTACCCTCCCTTCCCACTTCCTCTACTCTTTTAGACCTTGTCTTCCTATTACACAATATCAATTATACATTTTGATCTTTATTTACTCTTTTAGTTTTTCGTACCAGGGAAACTATTCAGTATTTACACGTGTGTCTTATTCATTTCACTTAAGACTATGGCTTCAAGGTGCATTCACTTAGTTATAAATATATCTAGTTTCTCATTCTTTATGGCTGAGTAGTACTCCATTTCATAAAAAAAAAAAAAAACACATCTTCTTTATCCAGTCTCCAGTTGATGGGCAATTGGGCTGTCCTCAAATTTTAGCCATTACAAACTGTGCTACTATAAGCATGGGTGAGCATATATCACTGTGGTGTGATTCTTTTAATTCTTTTGGGAAGATGGCCCAGCAGAGAAATAGCTGGATCACATGGGACTTCCAATCCTAGTTGTTTGAGGTATCTCCATATTGATTTCCACAGTGGTTTCAAGTCTGCACTCCCACCAACAAAGAAGGGTTCCTATCTCCCCACAACCCTGCCAGCATTTGTTATTAGTGATTTCTTGATAGGAGCCATTCTTTCTGAGATGGAATTTCATTGTTGTTTTCATCTGTATCTCTCAAATGACCAGTGATGTTGAACATTTTTTTCATATGTTTATTTACTGCTTTTACTTTTCTTCTGAGAAATGTCTATTCATTTCAGGTGCCCATTTTTGAATTGGGTCTTTATATTGGGGGGGGTCCTGATTTTTTAAAAGTTCTTAATATATTATAGTTGGTAGACCCTTGTCTGAGGACAGCTGGTTATAACCAATATGTATTGACTTATCATTGTTGTTATTTTCCTGTTCTTTTTTATTTTTCTCCTCTCCCTTTAAATTCTTTCCTATTGGATTTGCTCTGTTGGGCCTCATGAAGCTGTGACCTTCATTGTCTTTTTCTAGGATATTTTTAAAAATTGTATGGAGTGCTGATTTGATGTTCATGAAGTTTTTTATGTGTACTGTATCATAAAAGTATCTTATTTCTCCATCAATTTTGAAAGATAGTTTTGCAGGATACATCAGCCTATGTTGGAGATTGTTTTCTTTTAAAGCTTGAAATATCTCACTCCAGGCTCTCCTTGAGGGTTTGTGTTGAAAAGTCTGGTGTGATTCTAATGGGCTTTCCTTTACATGTAATTTGTGTCTTTTCTCTAACTGCTTATAGTATTTTGTACTTGTTAGGTTTCTGGGATCTTGATTATTACATGTCTAGGTGTGTGTGTAT